AAGAGAAAAATAAGACAGGTAAATGAGACAAAAATGTATGGAGGAGGGTGCAATTCTACACAGAATAGACAGGGCAGGAAGCACTGAGGTGACATCTGAATAAAGACCTAAGCATGTCTTGTCTGGGGGAAAGCATTTTCTGTCAAAGTAACAACAAGTGCAAAACACCCAGAGGCAGAAACATGCTTGGCGTGCTCAGGAAACAGAGTGGAAGCCAGCATGGCTGGGACAATGTGTGCGCATGCAAGGCGTAAGAAATGAGACCAGAAAGGTAAGAGACACCTGGGTCACATGGCATCTTGCAGACCTACGGCTTTGACTCTGGGTGAGACGGGAAGCCACTGGAGGATTCTGAGAAGAGGACTGACTAACATGTCTTGACTTTATCAAACAGGATTACTTTGGCTGCTAGACTGAGAAGAGACTGAAACACAGTCAAAGGACATGAAATGCAAATCAAAAAATAAGAACCATAATTGATCAATGAGAATTTGAAAAAGAAATTCCCATTTACTTATATAGAAACAAGATAAAATTTCGAAGTTGGCAAAGGTTCACCACACCACAAACAATCAGTGTGGTGAAATGAGCACTTTTCAATGATGCTTATAAGAATACTGACTGGGAACCCCTTTCCAAATGTGATTTGACCCAGTAGTCCCTCTTAAGATTCAATTCTTGGGAAATGACTAAAGATGTAGTTAAAGATTTGTATGAAAAAGGATGTTTGCAAATTACTCATTAGAAAAAAATAGATTGGCATGCAGTTATTAGCTATTGGTTCATTATGATAAAGCTACATTGTGATAAAATGAAGGGGTTTTTAAAAAGAATTTTTATATGAGGTCGGAATTTTCATTGGTATCATTTTTATCAAAAAGGCAACATCAAAAATGTTTAGAGAGGTAATCTCTGAGTAGCGTAATTATTTTCTTCTTAATTTCTCAATTTTCCAAATTTTCCTTTCATAATGAAGAAATGATTTTTTAAAATGGATTTGCTAGTATAAGACTAAAATGTACAGGTGGGTACAGCAGAGTTATCTGGACAAAGGTAAGTGTGTTCTAGCATAATTTCTTCAGAATGACCCAGGCAAGGTTGTCCTGGGAGTGATCTCCAGAGCTAAAAGGGAATCTCTAATACTGAAAGGCACTACCCTGCTGATTTTGTAAATAATCCATTAGGGGCCTGTAAGAAAGTTTCTGGGGGAAAAGGGTGGAGGATATGGCATTATACTATTAACAGAGTAGATACTTATGCTAACACACTTAAAATCCCCCTCAAATCAAACCTTCTTCCCCATATACCAAGCAATATGCATATAAAAAGACAAGTCTTATCTTCAGAAACGAATGTTAAGCCAGAAGTCAGAAGACTCAGTCTTCTGTAATT